TCTGAGCTGGACCTTGTCCTTATGGAACACAGTGTAAGGGGGCTCTGAAGTCAGGACCTTGAGCTCAGACACCCTCCTGGCTGAGGTTATTGCTACCAGAAACGCTACCTTGTATGAGAGATGAAGCAGGGAGCATGTCGCCAAAGGTTCAAAGGGTGGTCCCATGAGTCTGGAAAGGACCAGATTGAGGTCCCAAGCCGGGACAGGCTGACGGAAATGCGGGTATAGCCTGTCGAGCCCTTTAAGGAAACGGCTGACCATAGATTTGGCAAAGACCGAGCGGCCCTCTGCACCTGGATGAAAGGCAGTGATGGTGGCCAAGTGAACCCTTATTGACGACATGGACAGCCCCTGCTGCTTGAGATGGAGGAGATAGTCTAATATAAATTGCAGAGGCGAGCATCAGGGGTGAATGATGCTGCGCCGACCAGACTGAAAATCTCTTCCACTTAGCAAGGTAGATAGCTCTGGTGGAGGGCTTTCTACTGCCCAGGAGGATTTATCTAACCGAGTCTGAGCAGGAGAGCTCCATGGAGCTTCCACACCATGAAGTGCAGCAACTCTAGGTTCGGATGTTGGAGACCACCATGATCCTAAGTTAGTAAGTCTGGGAAGAGTGGCAAGGTGACTGGCGCTTCCATGGACATTTTCAGGAGTGATGTGTACTAGTGTTGGCGGGGCCAGGCTGGAGCTATCAGAATCACCGAAGCTTCTTCCCTCCATATCTTGAGGAGCACCTTGTGAACGAGAGGGATGGGTGGGAACGCATATAGGAGATGGCCTCCCCATGGGAGGAGGAACACGTCCGTGATGGATCCTGGGCTGTGATTCAGGAAGGAGCAAAACTGCTGACACTTCCTGTTGTGTTGCGTGGCGAACAGGTCTATCTGGGGAAAACCCCACTGATGGAAAGTTGAGTTCACGATGTCCGGGCGAAGGGACCACACATGGTCGTGGAACGACCTGCTGAGATGGTCCGCCAACTCATTTTGTACTCCAGGGAGGTATGATGCTTGCAGGTGTATCGAGTGTTCTGCACAGAAGTCCCACAGCATGAGGGCTTCCTGGCACATGGGAGAAGAGCATGCACCCCCGTTTGTTGATATAAAACATCGCCATAGTGTTGTCTGTCATGACTGATACACATCTCCCTGCAAGGTATGCTCGGAAAGTCTGGCATGCCAGACATACAGCTCTCTGACATTGATGTAGAGAGCAAGATCCACCTGAGACCAGAGGCCTTGGGTTCTGAGGTCTCCCAAATGTGCCCCCCTGCCCAAATCTGACATGCTCGTCACTAGTGAGAGGGATGGCTGAGGGCTGGTGAAAGGGACCCCTGCAGATACTACCTGTGGGTCGAGCCACCACAGGAGGGAGTCAAGTACCGGGCAAGGCAGGGTTACAGTCCTGTCCAAACTGTTGTGGGCTGGCCGATACACTGATGCCAGCCATTATTGAAGAGGTCGAAGTCTACTATGTAGGTACAAGCTGCCATGTGTCCTAGAAGTTTTAGGCAGTTCCATGCTGTGGTGGTGGGACACTGTCTGGGACCTTGAATAATGTCACCCAGGGCTTGAAATCTCATTCTGGAAGGAATGCCCTGGTGTGTGTCGAGTCCAGTACCATCCCTACAAATTCTATCATCTGAACTGGGGACAGCGTTGATTTTCCCCTCGTTCAGTAGCAGGCCCAGTTCATCGAAAGAAGCTCTTATGAAGGCGAACTGCCTTTCTACTTGAGTCCTGGATTGGCCCTTGACCTGTACCTGTCGCCTGTGGAGGAACGTGGCCACGACTGCCATGCACTTGCTAAATACTTGAGGTGTGGCTGACAGGCTGAATGGGAGGACTGTGAACTGGTAGTGGGTGTTGTTCACCACAAACCTGAGGTATTTTCTGTCGGACTGAGTTATTATTATGTGAAAGTATGCATCCTTCAAGTTAAGGGTGGCATACCAGTCTCCGGGATCTAATGAAGGGATGATGGAGGCCAAAGAGACCATGTGGAACTCGAGCTTCACAAACTTTGAGTTCTCGCAGGTCTAGGATGGGTCTGAGCCTGCCTTTGGCTATCGGTATTAGGAAATACCGAGAATAGAAACCATTGCCCTTCTGTTCCTGAGGAACCTCTTCCACTGCCCCCAGCAAAAGGCACGAGTGCACTTCCTGTGTAAGGAGTTGTTCGTGAGAGAGGTCCCCGAAAAGGGACATTGAAGGATGGTGGGAGGGTACAGAATAGGATGGAATATCCCCTCTGTACTGTGCAGAACACTCAGCAGTGAAGTGATAAGGGACCAAGCATGGTAGAAAGGGGACAGTCGGGACAAAAAGGTAAGGTGGGGTAGATCCAGTTTTTGTTCTGGTGCACCATCCTCGACTGCACTTCAAAAGGCCTGTTTCAGGCCAGAAAGTGGTTTGGATTGGCCAGAGCTCTGGCCTGATGACGGGTGTGGCCTTTTCCCTCCACTCCTGTTCCTCCTCTGGGAACCATCCTGATGGTTCCGCTGGTAGAAGCGCAGGGAAGGTTGTGGTCTAAAATGCTTCTGCTGCGTAGCGGGAGTATGGAGGCCCAATGATTTGAGAGTGGTTCTCGAGTGCTTTTGGCTATGCAGCCTCTTGTCTGTTTTCTCAGAAAAGAGAGCCGAATCCTCGAATGGGAGGTCCTGAATAGTCTATTGGATCTCATATGGCAGGCCCGAGACGTGGAGCCAGGAGCCCCTTGTCATGGCTATGCCCATAGCTGCATCCGTTCCGTCCAGTGCGGCTTGTAGCGAAGCTCGCGAAATGAGCTTCCCCTCCTCCACCAGAACTGAAAACTCGGTGCGGGAATCCTGCGGTATCAGCTCCGCAAATTTTGCCATTGCCCCACATGTGTTGTAGCAGTACCTGCTGACAATAGCCTGCTGATTAGAGATTTGGAGCTGCAATCCGCCAGTGGAATAGATCTTTCTCCCATAAAGGTCGAGTCGTTTTGCCTCCCGATTCTTTGGGGAGGGTCCGTGGAAGCCCTGGTGTTCACGTTGGTTGGCAGCATCAATAGAGAGAGTCAGGTGGGGGATGAACATACAAATGCTTGTAGCACCTGGATGGCACAAAGTAGCGCCTTTCGTTGTGCTTAGCTGTAGGGGGCAATGAGGCTGGGGTCTGCCACAAAGTTTTTGTGGTGTCAGAGATGATCTTTACAAGAGGCAAGGCGATACATGCAGGTCTGGAGGGGGCAAGGATGTCTACCATTGGATCTGCGTCCTCCACTACCTTCTCCGCCTGAATACCCTGGGCAACCTGCCGCAGCAATTGCTGTAGAACCCAACTGTTCTCCAGGGCTGGGGCTGTAGCCAGGCCCGCCAGCGCCTTGTCTGGTGAGGATGAGGAAGAGACCCCCGTAAGGGGTAGCTGTTCCCTTCCTTCTGCACCCAAAGGGTCCTGCGGCACCTGGATTTCTTGGGCCGGTGCCGACTCGGATGGGGTCGTGTCCCTCGGTGTCAAGACTGCATACACCGATGCCGGTGCTGAAAGTGTAATCGGTGCCGAGGCTGTCATCGGTGCCGGAGCCCTTGTCAGTGTTGGAGATGTCAGAGCCGAAACAACTGGGGCTGGTGCAGGCTGCACTGGTGCTGGAGGCGATGGGATGGTGGTGCCGGGTGGCAATGCGGCTGTCCCTGATCCTGCCAATGCCAATGGTGCTGGCGGGGGTACAAACATGGCTGAGGCCACCGATGTTGCCCTGGGATGTGACCCTTGGCTCTGAACTTGGCTTTGATGAAAAGCCCAGGGAGTCCAAAAGGGCCATTGCTCCGGGGGCTGCCATTGCACGGGCCACGGTGCCAGGTAAGGGTGCCGATCCTGTGTTGATACTCCTACGGGACCGATAGGAGTCCAACTCTGAGGTGTCTGAAAAAGAGGACCACGGAGGAGCGCTATTTCTAGGCGCCAACCGTTCATGCCGAGGACTCGGGGACCGGCACAGCTGCTGGGTCTGTTCTGGTGCCCGGGAGTGGGGCGCGCCAGGGTTGGAGATCGACGGGACATCATGGCGGGCTTTCCCCTTGAAGGTGCTCGGGGAGCGACCAGTGCCGGTGACCTGTCCAGTCTAGGAGGGGAGAACGGTGCCGTGAGATGGAGCAATTCTTGGGCTGCCTCGAATGCCTCTGGAGTTGAAGGGAGGTGCAGCTCCCTGTCTCAGCCTCGGTGAACGAGGAGGGTTCGGACTCAACTGCCCTTCCATGTGGGCAGGAGTCGATGCAACCGTCACCGGTGGTGGAGCAGAAGTAGTGTGGCCCAGCTCGGGTCTCACAATGGCTGGCTCCTTAGGCCTAACGGGGAGAACGACCGCTCTCTGGCCTCTTCTTCTGCGGTACTGGCGATTGAGAACAGTGCATGCGTGTGGCATGTGAGCCATGAATGGAGCCGGGATGGTACCGTGAGTACTTGTCCTTACTCAGCACCGGTGCTTGTGCTGACGGTGCCGGAGCTCTCCGCACCGAGGAACTCGGCACAGGGTCAGTCGACCCGGGGTCAGACTGGGGGCGGAGTGCAGCCTCCATTAACAGGACCTTCAGGTGCTGATCTCTATCCTTTAATGCCCTGGGCCGAAAGGTCTTGCAGATGGCGCAACGATCCTTCTGACGGTTCTCTCCTAAACACTTCAAACACGAAGTGTGAGGATCGCTTCTGGGCATACATGTGCCGCAGACTTCGCAGGCTTTGAAGCCCGGAGACCCGGGCATGCCCTGGCATCGAGAGAGTGTAGGAGGGGAACCCTCCTCCCTCCAAAGAAAACAATGTAACACTAAGGGCTGCTGACTATTTAATTAACACTACAGAGTTAATGAAAACTATGTATATAGACTGCTAAATGCACTTGCCAAGACAAGAGCACAGGAAAGTTCCAGCTAATCGTCACTGGCGGTAAGAAGGAACTGAGGGGGTGGCGGGTCGGCAGGGCTCTATATTGAATGCCCTAAAGGTGCAACTCCAGGGGGCACCCAGACCGACCCAACAGATGCTGCTATGGGAAAATCTTCTGACTACCGTGCATGTGCATGCGCGCACACCTGATTGGAATGGACATGAACAAGCACTCAAAGAAGAATACATTGTTTTGGTTACCTTATGTAGTTCTAAGGAGAGTCGTTTTCTTGACCTTCATTATGTTAAAGTCAGCTTGTGCCAGACTTCAGAGGGCTGATAAACTTGAAGAATCCCAATAGAAAAAGCCACCTCAGTGACTAACATTCTGTTGCCCTCGCTGGTATCAGTTACCCTTCAATTAGCAGCTAAAATCTGAAATGCACAAAGTAGTAATGGCTATTGACAAGAAGCTTGTAAATGAATGGGCAGTTCTCCCAGCCTTTCAAAGAGATCTGATGATTCAGCATGGCAGCACTGCAAGTGCCAAGTATGAGATAATCAGACCTGCAGAGCCGTATGCTGCATAGGCAGGATTGTTTCTGGAATGACTTTTTGGTTCTTTCTAAGCTACTTTCACCTCTTGTTGGTTGCCAGTCCTGCCTTTGGGAGCATGAGCATCATTGGCTCTGGACTCTTGTTTAAAGGCACTTTGTAAAATAATGTATTGTTTGCACAAAGCCTGTTTCTTAATTAGAACTGTTAATGGAATAAGTAACGCCGATTGTAAAGGGATGTAATGATGGTTATATAGCACTTTCATCCCAAAGGATCCCAAAATGCCTTTCAAGCTATATACAGCCACATATGCTCCAAACTATGAGCATCTCATGATATTTGGGTATCTTGTTAGTTTCCTGAATTGACTTTTGACTATATTGCTAGTAACTTTTTGTGAGCACACGATGGCGCCGTTGAAACCAGGTAGTTTTCAGGCCTAACAGTTTGCTCCATGAATTTGTTCAGAGCTGAGGGGAAACATGCGTGTGTCCTGTGTGTTGATGCTGCATGCCTAGTGGGAGTGTCATAACAAATGGTTGAGGGAATGGCAGAAGGAGGGGACGCCGGTGCTCCGCCCATCCATCTGTGGGTGCGACGGGTAGGCGTCTACTGTGATGAACGCCGTAAAACATGGCTCGTGGCTGTGGAAGAGGCAAGTGACTTTCAAGCTTCTCAGTGATCATAGTTCTGACATTGTGGATGTCTTTACTGCACTGCTAATAACTGACTATTCTTCTCTTGTGTACTTTCCCCTAGGAGGCAGGTACCCTGAGGGCCCGGATTCAACGAGTTCGGGTCCCCCTGGGTGAGGCACTGCGACCCAGCCAACTTCCCCCATCGCAACTGCCTCACATGTGGCAGCTTTCCGAGGGCGAGCAGTACAGGGATAGTAACTCTCGCATTTGGGAGATACAGCACCACCTAATGGTAAGGCTGGTGGCAAACCTGAGTCATACATGTTTGTGAAGTGATTTGAGATCATTGAGGAAAGATGCTGTAGAAGGGCAAAGAAATATTATATTATTATTATTATTATTTATTATTATTGAGGTATATTAGCTCTTTTCCACAGTGGTTTAGGTGTGCTGAACTTTTCCTTGTAATTTACAGATCGGGGGAGTTGAGGAGCTGCTGCTTAGACTCATGCCCGGTGATTAACCTGGTAAGTGTCACCATTTCCTCTCTTTCTTACTCTTCTTTAACTATTTGTAGTGGTCCTTTAATATGAATTTTTGTCTTTCAGGAGCGGTGCCTCTAGGAAGATGTCCCTGTTTGTTTTGTACAATATATGATTCTCCCACCTCAGAGGTGGGAGGTGGCAGCTGTTTAACAGCACACAGCAGCACCACACAAGAGTTTAGGACAGGCAGTGAAGAAGAGTATCATGTCCAATTGAAACTACAAGGGGCAGTTTTAGGTAGGCAGAATGTAATTTCCCTGACTGGAGTTTGGCCAGGATACTGGGGCTAATATCCCATCTGTTTTGAAAGGTGCCATGGGATTGTTAATGACCATGAATGGTCAGAATCTCTGTTTCATATCCTATCCACAAGACAGTACATCAGCATCTCCTAGCACTGTGTGGGGACTTTGGCTTAATGGTGGCTCAGAGGAAAGAATGATGCCCCAACGCCACTTCCTGCAGCATCTGCATTTTCTTTGGAGTCTTCCATCCAACTACTAAACCTGTCCACCTCTGCTTTCCTTTTGATCTCAAAGTGTCATGACGATAGGTCAAATTGCGTGTCAAAAACCCTATCTTAAAAAGGTTTGAGTCTGATAGGCTCATCTGCTGCATTTTTTGCTAGGTTGTTTTAATCTACCGATCGCCAAGACATTTTCTTAAAAAAAGTAATCCTTTTTTAGGACCACAGAAATATGCTTTTATTTATAAATTCCTCTCCAGAGGCAGTTCTATGACAAATGCTGTTTCCCTAGCAGCGCCGCTCCCCCCAGCAATGTTGGTACATCAAAATATATTTGAGCATAATAAGCTCTACCTGAATTGAACTGTTAAACTAAATCAACCATGTTCATTTAAGCATCATTCAGATTCAGCGTGGGTGAGAGTTCACTAATTGCCAAATGGAAAAAGAACTAGATTTGACCAGGAAGAGATCTTCAGGTTTTACAAGATGAACCCTTCAAGATACCCATCATCCACTTTTCATTCCTTGCCTAACTTTAGCTGTCCCCAGTGATATCCTAGGGTGTTTAAAGCATTGTTGCTCCCTGGGCCAATGGAGGACAGGAAAGGGGGGAAGGCTCTGTGGTCAACTTGTGGGGATAAGGGATTCTTTGTGTGTCTCACAGTGACCCTAAAGCAGCATGAGACTGGCTTTGAATGGTGACCCATCCAATTGTCCATTGTAAGGAGGGTATATGAGCAGGGAAAATGTGAGCTCCCTAGGGTCTAAGTCTTAAGCAGTGCCTTGCCCAGCCCCTAGAGAAAACCCAAACCCCACTGTTTGTATAGTAACATTTTCCTATCATTCTAGTTCTGTGGATATGCCCCAGAAGGATCCCTGCCAGAAACAAGCCTGTGAAATACAGAAATGCTTGCAAGGTACCATGTGCAATGTTTTCTTTTTGGTGTCTTTTTTGTTTGTTTTTGTTTTTAAATTTAATCCCATCCTCCTTTCTCCCTAGCAAAAGGAATAAGGCAAGGACAAAAAATGACTTAGTTGCAAATGTAATGTAGTTGTAAAATCAGATTTTAATATCACCACATTGCATTTGATTTGATGTAACTAAACTCCACTACTGTACAACAAAGAGTTTGTTATAATAAAGGATAGTACTTATTTGTGTGTCTGGAGATAGATATATAGACGAGGCAGTGGTGGTGTAGTATGGAGTAAAGTTTGCATTAACCTGAATTTGGGATGGTCACGTTACTCACACATAGTAAAATGAGCCACAGGTCACTCATCTTGCAAAATCCCTGGTGGGTGTGCGGGTTCTCTCCCGTGAGTTGTTCTTGCCAAGGCCCAGGGTTTCAGTCTGTCTTCCCTCCCCTGTTCCATATATGTCTGCAACTGGTAGGGGAAACCACGAGAGGCTGTCTACGGAGAGATGCTGCTGAGCTGTAGGTGTCCTCCTCATTAAGCCTAGATTCATCAGCCTCCTTGCTTTCTCAGTGACTGATCAAGGCTAGGACGTGAATGAGAGCTAATTGGCCAGGACTCATTTGAGCTAACCTAAAAGGGATGCTCACTGGTCAGGGAAAGCACCAGGAGCAACGTACCCTCCTCTGGTCTCTACAGCTCCTGTTTACGCACAGCAAGATGTATAGGGGAGACGACAGGAGGCCTGTGTCGCTCCCAGGCTAGATCACGGTCGTGGACTCTAGTTGGGGTTACCCTGGCAGGATGTAAGCCAGACAGGGTTGCTCTTCCCCTGGAAAGATTCTAATGCCTGTTCTGGAATCCCCAAGCTGCTCTTTATTAGTCTCTCATTGGGTCACTGTTTGCTCCTTCTTAGTCTTCAAAAAGCTTGGGAGAATGATTATAGCCGTGCCTGTTTGGGCAGCGCAATCTCCGTCTCTCTTAACTAGGCTTGGCAGAATTCGAGTTTCATTGTTTTATAATTTCAATGAATAATTTTCATTTTTTCCAATTTGTAACTATATTTTCAAAATTGCGCAAAATTATGGGGTTTAAACATTTTTTATTTTTATCCATTTAAATTTTCACAGTTATAGGAAATCGGGGGTCAGGGTCAGTGACTTAATGACAGTCAGTGTTGAAATTTGAAAAGATAAATTGACAATATATACAAGGTGTAAATATCCTTAAACTCTAATAAGTTCTCAAGCAGCATTTTTCTTACTTTGCCGATCTGGAAATTTTGATGATTTTCGATGGATGCGTCAGTTTGTGTGTGTAGGGTGAAACTGACGTTTAGTGACATTTACCAATAAAAATCTAGTCCTTTGAAGCCTACTTTCTAGGGGGAAGTAGGTAACCCCAGGTGGTCACCAAACCCTCCAGCCAGGAAAGCTTCCTGCAGACAGAGACTTTATTAGCTAGCACCACTGTTCCACCTGCAGCAATAGCTGCTTAGTCATGCTTGGGGCTACCTCCCTCAAAATCCTCACATTCTTTGAAATTGGTGGTCTGCCCTGCAAAGTGTTTTGGGACGTTACAGCATTGAACAAGCTGTGCTGCCGAGCCGAGTGTCCGTTTCAGAAAGTAAAAATTAAGGGTGGCATTGGACAAGTAACCTGTGTTCTGCAGAGCTTGAGAACACTTAGCACCCTGGGGCACTATGACTTCGATGAGTGCCACAGTTATCGCTGCTTCTAAAAACCTGGGGTACTGTAGGCACTGGGAAGGGAAGGAGAGAGCTGTGTCGGTTGACCTCCACTAGAAGGTTGCTTATTCCTAGTCTCAGCTCTTTTGAGCTAATTGATGGCACTGTGAGACACAGGAAAGTGGGCAGGGGGCCTCACGCTGCTCTGCAGAGCTCTCTGCCTGCCCCCAAGGAATGATTCTTTTTGCTGGTTGCAACCCATCCCTGGCCCCTCTTATGGTGCCCAAAGGCCTCTTTGACTAACTTGAGTGGAAAAAAAAACAAACCATGTATCTCTCTGCATTTGCACTATGTTCTTCATCTCGTGTCTAAGGTTTACATTCAACTGTAATCATTTACAGAAGCTCCCCAACTTGCGCAAGCATTCCGTTCTGGAATGCCTTGCGTAAGTCGAATTTTGCATAAGTCGGGAACATATCTCCGACAATTACGCAAAAAAAAAAGCTTACGGAACTTATGGAACTTTTTCTATAAGTCCAGATTTTCATAAATCGGGTTTGCGTAACCCGGGGAGCATCTGTACAGGTGACCTCAGAATTGGATGGGGAATAAATCTGTGGGACAACGGAACCGAAGTCCAAATCCAGCTAGAGAGAGCAGGGGTTGCAGGGCAGGCAATCAGTGAAGATTTGTTGTTAAGTGTGAAGTTCTCCAACTAGAAGTGGAAGATACACAATTGGGAGGTGGGTCATGCAACCCATCAGCTGTACTCCCTCCATTAAAGCGAGTTATTTGCACCTCATCTCCTTAGTTCCCCAGAACTAAGCAGCATAGCTATTGCAGAGCAGGGGTGTGGATGGGATGGGGAAGTTGCCACAAGAGGATCAAGCTCGATCCACAATGTGAAAGAACTTAACTGGGTTAGATGAACCCTCTTTTTCATGCAGTTTGCTCTCTAGTGCAGGATTAGTATCTCCATTCTTTTATTTTACAGCCAACAACTACCTGGAGGCTAGATGTGAGGCTGTGCTCCAAGAAATGCGAAGATGCTGCGCCCAATGCCCCAAAGGCAGATCCATCTGTTGTTCGGGGTTTGAGAAAGAGGAAAGAGAGAGGGAGAAGCTTAAGGCAGCTTCAAATGGGAATCATGCAGCACCACAGTAACAGGCTGCAGCTCCAGGAGGTTATGGAGCGTGGCCCTCTCCTCAAAGTAGCATGCAAGTGGCAAATAATAAACAAACCTTCAGAGCTAAACTATGAGGTTCACGCTGGAGTGGAGGCCACCTCGAGGAATAAAACTGTTAAAATAATGCGTTATTCAGACTGATAAGGAAGCCAGAGAAGAATCCATCATAGAATAAAATGTCCTGTGCACCAAATGTAAAATGCAATACAACAGAGGGGCTGTTCAAAGGATTCTGTTTTCTATCCCAAACTATTGTGACTTAGTTTGTTTCTGATGCTTAATGTATTCAGTAATCCATTCTCAGAATAAGAATTTGAGGGTGAAATAAAACTTATTCAGCCTTCTGGCATAGGATGTACAGGAAATAAGTTCAAGGAGAGTCTATTGAATTTGATGCATTAAGCAAGACCATCTTCAAGTAGCAGAAATATTCCTATCATTGAGCCATAGTTTCCCAAAGATGCGATCTGCTTTTCTAGTGCTTAAAGCAAGAATGGGAGTCCGCTCTGGGGTTTATTCCCAGCTCTGCCACAGTTCCTCTGTGACCATAAGTCATTTCACCGAGGTGCCTGTTTCCTCAGTTGTGCAATGGGGTATTGGATTAATGACTAGTTGGACCACATTGCACAATAGTATTTGTATGATCTTAAAGATGTTGCAGAAGCATTTTATTTCAGGGAGTGCTAAAAGAAGAGAATCTTTTAAAGCAGTATTTATGGAAGACCAAGGTGTTGGTATAAAATGGATTTTTACGACGTTGAGAGCAGCAGTCATCTTGTATGACTGAACATCTCTAAGCAATATGACATGCAATGAATTTGTGAGACTACAATGCCCCTTTACACATAGTTCTGTCATACAAAGCCTAATCAACTTAGTGTAATGATCACCCTGAAGTGCACAATCAAGCACAACTTAGTTTTGAAATACAGGTTTTTATGAACAATAACAGACCACTGCAGTTACTGGACATAATAGGCAGCTATATCAAAGCACATGTGACAAATCCATTTGTCTTGTATTCTAAATACCATGATACAAAATAAATGACTGGAATAATGAGAGTTCTCACTAGGGGTATTTATTCTGTTGTCTGTTTTCTCTCACATGGTCAGGCAGATTGACTGATTTCATGATTAAGGCCCCCACCCACAAATTTTTGGAAGCTGTTTGGTGTTTTTATATCCTGAGCCTGTAATAAAAAATTAATTTGTCACAGGAGTAACCTAGGATCTTGTTTTGATTAAGAGCAAGGAAAGAAATGAAGTGAAGTGGCTTTGAAGCTCTTTTTCATATTTACCTCTTTTCCCATTCAAAGAGAAGTTGCAGCAATGCACAAAGGGCTGGCTAAAAGTTTTTTTACAGCCACAACTTTGCCTTAAGGACATCATAACTGTACTACGGTGTTAGACTATGGTTCCTCTTACCCAATATCCTGTCTCTTGACAGTGGCCGGTACCAGAACTTTTGGGGAGGGGTGGTGGAGGGTGTACAACAGGTCAGTAATGGAGTGTCTTCCACACCCAGCTTTGTCCCAAGCATGGGGTTCTGGCCCTGACCATTTTGGCTAATACCCATTGATAGACTTATCCAGTTCTTTTGTGAACCAAGTTATACTTTTGGCCATCACAACATCCTATGGTGATGAGTTCCACAGATTAACTGCACTGTGTGAAAAAGTACTTCCTCATTTGTATTAAATCTACTGCATGTTAATTTTGTCAGCTGACCCCTGGTCTTTGTATTCTGTGTAAGGGTAAATAACACTTATCTATTCACTTTTTTGCATAGCCCTCTATCATATCCACCCTTAGTCATCTCTAAGCTAAACATTTTTGTCCTCATCTTTGATCATCATTGTTGCCCTTCTCTAAACCCTTTCCAGTCCCCCTATATTCTTTTTGTGATGGGGCAACCAGAACTGGACACAGTACAGAGGGTGTGGATGCACCATGGATTTACATAGTGGCATTGAGACATTTTCTGTCTTTTCTAGCCCTTTCCTAATGCTGCCTAATAACCTTTTTGACTGCTTGCACATTGAGCAAATGTTTTCAGAGAACTATTAATGGTGCTGTCAAGGTTCCCTCCCCACTCTGAACTTTAGGGTACAGATGTGGGGACCCGCATGAAAGACCCCCTAAGCTTATTTTTACCAGCTTAGGTTAAAAATACGCTGCCACCACCAAGCATTTTAACCAGATATTTATGGAGAGCCACTTGGAACTCTACCTTTCCCCAAATATCTCCCAAGTCCCTAACCCCCCTTTCCTGGGTAGGCTTGAGAATATCCCCTCACCAATTAGTCCTGGTGAACACAGATCCAAACCCTTGGATCTTAAAACAATGAAAAATCAATTAGGTTCTTAATAGAAGAATTTTATTAAAAGAAAAGGTAAAAATTATCTCTCTAAAATCAGGATGGAAAAATAACTTTACAGGGTAATCAGATTCAAAGAGTCCAGAGGAAACCCCTCTAGCCTTAGGTTCAAAGTTACAGCAACCAGAGGTAAACCCTCTAGCAAAAGGAACATTTACAAGTTGAGAAAACAAAGATAAAACTAATACAACTTGCCTGGCTGTTACTTACAAGTTTGAAATATGAAAGACTTGTGCAGAAAGATTTGGAGAATATGGATTGATGTCCGGTCCCTCTTAGTCCTAAGAGCAAACACCACCAAAACAAAGAGCACAAAAACAAAAGCCTTCTCCCCCCCCCCCCCCCAGATTTGAAAGTATCTTGTCCCCTTATTGGTCCTTTGGGTCAGGTGTCAGCCAGGTCACCTGCTTCTTAACCCTTTACAGGTAAAAGGATTTTATAGTATTGTATATAGGAGGGTTGTTACCCTTCCCTTTCTAGTTATGACACGCCCCCCAAATCACAGATAGTGTCGGTTCCACACTGGCTGTGATTTCTTCCTGGAGCTCTAGGAGAAAACAGAGTTAATAAGTTACATGCACCTTTAGACATACTATTGATGATATAAAAACTAACAATATGTCACACATTCCAAGAACAATTTTTAACCAATTGATTCTGGGAAACTTTCATGGGAGGGTGTATCAGCCACTTTGTTAGAAGCTCCCGAAATGTGTTGTATCTCAAAATCAAAATCTTGGACAGCTAAACTCCACCAAAGAAGTTTTTTGTTATTTCCCTTGGTGGTATGAAGCCACTTTAGCGCAGCATGATCGGTTTGTAGTTGGAAACGCCGTCCCCAAACGTATGGGCATAGTTTTTCCAGAGTGTACACAATGGCGTAGCATTCCCTTTCGCTGACTGACCAGTGGCTTTCCCTCTCAGACAGTTTCTTGCTGAGAAACACGACAGGATGGAATTCTTGATCCAGTCCTTCCTGCATTAAAACTGCTCCCACAACACGCTCAGACGCATCTGTGGTTACTAGGAACGGTTTGTCAAAGTCTGGGGCCCTTAGCACAGAGTCAGACACGAGTGTCGCTTTAAGCTGGTTAAAGGCCTTCTGACACTCTTCAGTCCACTGAACTGCATTTGGCCAGGTCTGTTAGTGGGGCAGTGATTTGGCTGTAGTGCGGTACAAATTGCCTGTAATATCCAGCCAAGCCTAAGAAGGATTGGACCTGTTTCTTTGACTTTGGGACAGGCCACTTTTAGAGAGCATACACTTTGGCCTGTAGGAAGTTTATAGTTCCTTGACCCACCTGGTGTCAAAGCTAAGTCACTCTGTTTAGGCCTATTTGACACTTTTTAGCCTTAACAGTTAGTCCTGCCTGCCTTATACGCTCGAAGACTTTTTCCAGGTACTCCAGGTGTTCTGCCCATGAATCAGAAAAGATGGCCACATCGTCAAGGTAAGTGACGGCAGATTCTCCCAATCCCGCTAGGAGACCATCTACAAGTTTTTGAAAGGTGGCGGGTGCATTTCACAGCCCGAAAGGGAGCCCGACATGGGTGATGAAGGCTGAACTTTCCTTGGCGGATTCATCTAGCAGTACCTGCCAGTACCCCTTGGTTAAGTCTAAGGTAGAGATGAACTGGGCACGTCCCAGTTTCTCCAATAGTTCATCTGTGCGTGGCATTGGATAGTTACCTGTGCGAGTTACAGCATTTAGTTTACGGTAGTCCGCGCAAAAACGTATCTCCCCATCTGGTTTGGGAACTAGAACCACTAGAGATGCCCATGCACTGTCAGAGGGATAGATTACATCCATCTGTAGCATATCCTTGATTTCCCATTCTATAGCAATTTTAGCATGAGGAGACACCTGGTAAGGTTGGACTCTAATTGGGTGAGCATTACCGGTGTCAATGGAGTGGGATGCCCGTTTGGTCCGTCCTGGGGTGGCTGAGAACACTGGCGCGAAGCTAGTGCACAGCTCCTTGATCTGCTGTTGCTGCATACATCCAAGGGTCATGGAGAGGTTCACCTCTTCCACACCACTGTCACTTCTTCCTTCGTAATAGACACCTTCAGGCCACTCAGCGTGTTCTCCTCCCTGGGCTGTGAACTGACAAACTTTTAATTCTCTGGAATAAAAGGGCTTTGGAGAATTAACATGGTACACTTTAGGCTTTAAATTTGAGGTGGGGAATGTTATGAGATAATTAACAGCTCCCAGGCGCTCTTGGACCATGAAGGGCCCTTCCCACGATGCTTCCATCTTATGGGCCTGGAGCGCCTTCACAACCATGACCTGGTCCCCTACTTTGAAGGAACGCTCTTTGGCATGTTTATTATACCAGGCTTTTTGCTCTTCCTGAGCATCTTTTAGGTTTTCTGTAGCAAGGGCTAACGAGGTTCGGAGGGTGTTTTGTAGGGTGTTTACAAAGTCCAGAATGTTAGTTCCTGGAGAAGGCACAAACCCCTCCCATTTCTGCTTTACCAGTTGTAATGGTCCCTTAACCTTGCGGCCATATACAAGTTCAAATGATGAAAACCCTAAACTGGGATTTGGTACAGTCCTGTAGGCAAAGAGCAATTGCTGCAACACTAGGTCCCAATCACTGGAGTGCTCATTTATGAATTTACGTATCATGGCCCCCAAAGTCCCATTAAACCTCTCCACAAGGCCATTTGTTTGATGGTGGTAAGGGGTGGCAACCAAGTGGTTCACCCCATGAGCTTCCCACAGGCTTTTCATGGTCCCGGCCAGGAAATTAGTTCCCGAATCGGTAAGGATGTCAGAGGGACAACCTACCCTGGCAAAAATGTCTGAGTGCCTGGCACACACTTTTAGCCCTGGTGTTGCTTAGAGCTATTGCTTCCGGCCATCGGATAGCAAAATCCATGAAAGTCAGTATGTACTGCTTTCCTCTGGGTGTCTTCTTTGGGAAAGGACCCAGAATATCCAC